AAGCAGATTTAACCTCAGTTAATTAAGATGCTAATGACGTTATATATGTGTTTGTAAAAAACAGTGCAATGTTTCATATTGTTCATGATGTCAATTTGATGGTTCCTTTCACCGTAAACCCCCGGGAGCCCGTTGGGAATAAGAAGCAATAACGAATCCAAACAGAAAAGCCATAAAATGCGTTTTTACTGTATACTTATGTTTATTTACATTTTTGTTCTAAAGTGTGTTATCATTTTCGGCTCACACACACACGCACGCGTGTTGATCTGTGACATCAGTTGGACGTGAGGAGAAGCGTGCTCTCCGCCTCACACCTCTCCCCACCACACGCACACGCACGCACATACTCACACACTCACACACTTTGGCAGCCGGTCTGGAGAAGTTGTTGGGGTGTGGGGGGGATGTTGGGGGTGCAGCCTGGTCAGAGCACGGCGGCCCGTCGCACGCGCACGCGGACGCGCTCCTCGGCCACCTTAAAGGGAGGCCGACCGCAGGTCCGCGCGCCCGGCCCCCGTCCCGCCGCGCGCCGCGTGGGAACCCGTCCCCATCCCTTCACGCTCATTGGCTGCTCCAACTTGTTGGAGCTGTCCTCGCTCGGATAAAGGAAGCTGCGCGAGCCTATCGGTGCTCGCAGCGCGCGCTCCTCTCCTGAGCCCGCCCGCCCGGTCCCCACGCGCCCGCCCGGTCCCCACGCGCCCGGGGACAGTCGGAGTGGCTCGGGCAGCCCGTGTCTGAGGCGGACACACACACACACACGGACACACACACACACACACGCGGACACACACCCACCCCAGCACTCTGACCGGCTCTGCTTTTTGTCCTCTCACCGACCCTTTCCTCCCGCTAACCGGGGACCGGAGACCTGGTCTGGACTTCTGGATATCTCGAGGCGTGTTCGTCTTTGTGGATTTTGTCTTCTTTTTTTTTTTCTCCCCCTTTTTTGCTTCCCCGTTATTTTTTATTTAGTTCATCTTCATTTGTTTTAATGTCACAATGTCATCTTTACAAGGAGGTTTGCCGCGCGTGATGCGCCCGGCCCCCGGACAGAGTTACGCGCGCTCCGGATTCCCTCTGGAAGGTAGGTGTCCGCGCGGGGCCGCGCGCGGCCCGGCTCGGCTCACGCACGGCCGGGTCCAGGCTCGTTTTAGAGAACGAGACGAACGGAACGAGGAGCTTTAACCGGGCTTGACTTTTACGCGAGTCAAGGCTTTTCTCCTGTGGCCTGGATTTAATTTAAAAAAAAAAGGGGGAAAAAAGAGTTCTGGCCCCCCAGTGTGAAAGATGAGAGGACGGTCCCGGACGGCTCACGAGCCAGTGTTGTGTCCAGTTTAAGCCAGACCAAAGGACGGACCTGGAACCAGCGCGTAAAGGCTTGTGAAGCCCCCGAACGGCCCGTTAGAGGGGGTAGGGGGGAGGGGGGGCTCAGGAGGTGCTCACACCCCCTTTTCTTTTCTCAACTGCCCGGTGTTGAGGCTCCCTGCTCCCCCGTTAACGAACCGCCCCGGGACCCGTCCCCAGAGAGCCGCCTGGGCCCGTAGCCGGCCCCCGGAGGGCTCCAGTAGGCCCCGGTAGACGCCGGTAGACCCCCGGTAGGTCCCGATAGGCTCCCTGTAGGCCCCTGGAGACCCCCGATAGGCACCCGGTAGACCCCGGTAGACCCCGGTAGGCCTCGGAGGCCCCCGGTAGACCCATTGTAGACCCCCGGAGGGCCCCGGTAGACCCCGGAGGGCCCCGGTAGACCCCGGTTGGTCCCCGGTAGACCCCGGTAGGCCCCCTGTAGGCCCCTGCAGGCCCCCGATAGGCCCCTGGTAGACCCCGATAGGCCCCCGGTAGACCTCGATAGGCCCCGGAAGCCCCCGGTAGACCCCTTGTAGACCGCCGGAGGGCCCCTGTAGACCCCGGTTGGTCCCCGGTAGACCCCGGTAGACCCCTTGTAGACCCCCGGAGGGCCCCTGTAGACCCCGGTAGACCGCGGTAGACCCCGGTAGGCCCCCTGTAGGCCCCGCTAGGCCCCCGGAGTGCCCCCGGTAGACCCCGGTAGACCCCGGTAAACCCCCGGTAGACCCCCGGAGTGCCCCCGGTAGGCCCCCTAGGCCCCTGCAGGCCCCCGATAGGCCCCCGGTAGACCCCGGTAGACCCCGGTAGACCCCGGTAGACACCGGTAGGACCCCGGTAGACCCTCGTAGGCCCCCGGTAGACCCCCGGTAGTCCCGCCCCGGACGTAACCCGTGTGACGCCGTGTCCTCCTCTATGCAGTGTCCACCCCCCTGGGACAGGGACGGGTCAACCAGCTCGGGGGGGTCTTCATCAACGGCCGCCCGCTGCCCAACCACATCCGGCACAAGATCGTGGAGATGGCGCACCACGGGGTCCGGCCGTGCGTCATCTCGCGCCAGCTGCGCGTGTCCCACGGCTGCGTGTCCAAGATCCTGTGCCGGTACCAGGAGACGGGCTCCATCCGGCCGGGGGCCATCGGAGGCAGCAAGCCCCGGGTGAGGGACC